AATCCTCAAAAGGATAATACATAACTGAGGGCAATGAGTGGGCTGATTGATAGTCATTAGCCAAAGGGTAAGATAGTTGAACTCCACATAAAAATTCCATTAAGTTCAACTGTCCTTTGATGTAGGATTACTTTATTTGCACTTAATAATATGATGAAATTTACTGTAGAATTCAGATTTGTATGTACACATACATTGTCACAAATGTATATGTTTAAATGGATATAAAATATGTGATGTTTTTGGATGTCTCTCATAGTTCATTTTATGAATTCTATTTCTCTAAAACAAATCAGTGTGGAAAGATCTAAAAATTTTAAAAAAATTAATCTACAATCAATGCCCCAAACTACAATATCTAGGAAATGTGATGTCATTGTTCTGCCTTAGTGCTTCTGTTGGATAAAATAATATTTAGACAATGGTATTCTAATTTTGTTTCTTTTCCATACTCTCCACCTCCAGGATTTTAAAATAATAATAATGGAAACATTCAATCAGACATTGGGTGATTAAATGTCTGGGATGAGAAGGAACAAATTACTTCATTGGCTGAAGGAAGAGACTACATAAACTATAAAAACCCTTCTCTTTTGAAGATCCAATGCTATGTTGTTTGTCAAAGAGCAAGTTGATATTTGAGTGGAGCAAACTCATTTTTGTAACCCAGTGTGCTATTCCTAAGGATGTTTCATAGTTGAGCTTCTTCTGTGTTAAAAATCCACACTGACTTGTAACTGTAATATTACTATCCAGCTCAATGCTGGAACCATAGTTCCAGCAAAAAGACAAATAACACAGGAAAAAACAAACAGAGTGGATCCTAGAGACCCTTATATATGAGAAAACATTAGCCCAGATAAAAACCTTGGACCCATTATTCATTCCTTCACCTATTAATAAATATTTATTAACAAACTAATATATATCAATTACTAGGATAGTAGTGAGGGTACACAAAGGAACAAAGGGCACTAGACAGTTCAAATAGTTTCCCAGGTATCACCTTATGTAATCCTCACAGAAACCCAAAGAAGTAGATACTTTTTTATCCCCATTTTATAGATGAGCAAACTAAAGCAGAAACAAGTTAAGTCACAGGCCTCAAGTCAATGGAGTAATAAGCAATATGGGTAGAAACCCAACTGATGGCACATATTTCCTTAGTCTGTGATCTTAATCTCTAAATTAAACCATTGCCACACATATATATAAAATATATGCCACACACACACATATATATATTGTGTATATATATATATATACACACACACACACACACACACACACACACACACAAGAATGAGAATCATAAATTCTGGCTAAAAGGGTCTTAAAATAATTTTAAATATATATTTGAACCAGGAATTCAACTACTAAGAATCTATTTCAGGAAAACATTTGGACAAATTAATACAATTGTTCATTTAACAACGAACATTTCAGTTTTGTTTGAGAGGAGGAAAAATTGGAAATAATACCCTATCAGTAGGATTGGTTTTGGATACAGGTAACATAGTAACTTGATTAAAGTTAATCAAACAATAGTAGTTTATTAGCCCATAAGAATTTCTGAAAAAGCAGTTCTAGAGTTTGTTCAGCAGTTCAGGACTGTCATCAAAGATCTAGAATCATTTAATCTTCAAACTCTATTATCCTTGGCATAGTTTTTTCTTAGGCATTCTTCCTCATGGTCACCATACAGCTCCTGCAGCTCCAGGCATCTCACCTCACATGATCACATCCAACGAGAGGAAGAAGGGCAGTTTCTCCAAGTATGTCTACTTTTTGCCAAAGAGGAAAGCCTATTCCTGGAACCTTATTAATTGATACCATTAGCCAGTTTTAGGGCTCGTGCCCACACCTTAGCTGCAAAGAAGAATACATGAATACCTGGCATTTAGCCCGTATTATGTGAGGCAGGTTTTGCCAACAAGGAAGAGGAAGAGGCTGTTACCTTGGCAACCAGTTGGGCTGGCCAGAAACCTTGATATCTAAAAATGAAATATTTATGTGGTAGAATACTGTGTTGCTATCATATCATAAATGATGATAAAGGTAAAGGATATGAAAATATCCTTTTCATGTGAAAATATCCTTTTCATCCTTTTCATGATATTTTCATGTGAAAATAATCGAGTTATAAGAAATTTGATGCACACAAAATATAGACACCAAAATGCTAACATTGGTTATCTCTTTGTGATAGAATTACTTTTCTTTGTGTTTTTAGATACCTAATATTTTTAAATTAGCATAAACTTCTTTTATAATTTAAAAAAACAGGGCTGCTTTCCATTTTGAAAAATAATCTAATTCAAAGAGAAATTATTTTCTATCAAAATATTAATGTTCTCTGCTTGAAAGCAGAGAGTTAAGCAGTCAAAAAATGAACAAGACATTTTTATCGAAATTTGTTTTGCATCAGTGTCATAAAGAAATGAAAGACAAAAAAGAAACCAAGTAAAATGGCCACTGGAGGATTTTAAAACTGGAGAAATAAAAATGTTTTGTTAAGGGCTGATGATACAACCAAAAGCCTTAAAGAAAGGGCTGTTGCAACTTAATATATTAAATGCCTTGCTCTATGGAGTTCTCCTCCTGTGAGAATGCCTTCCACTGTTGCCAAGATCAGCTTTGTGCTGGCCATAAAAATTAAAATAGTTTAACAGGAGGAGGAAAATACTCTTATTTTGTGGAAATTAATTTACAGTTTTAACAGCATGATGATATGTGCCAATATATTAGTATTTGATTAAAACAAATAGGTAACACTTTCTTGAGTCGTTTATCATTTTAAATCATTGTAATTATATGTTACACATAAATACTTCTCCCAATAAAACTTTAAACACCACTGAAGAATAAAAGTTAAACATGAAATTCCTGTTTCATTGCATCCAACAACCCTTAGCTCGTTTCCCTCCAAAGAGATAAGCACTGTTAAATTTAAGATTTATGTCTTCAAGTGTTTTTCTATATATTTTTAAAAACTCAGTTGAATCATACTATAAACATTGTTGTGTCTTGTGCTTTTTTTGATATGTTTGAGGTATCACTCTACATCATTACATATAGATCTCCCTCAATTATTTTTTAGCAATTACTAAATCTATTTAAACATTCTTCTTTTGAAGGACATTTAGATTGTCCCTAATACTTGGCTGGTATAAAAGATGCTGCAATGAATATTTTACATATCCAATTTTATTCACTTAGGTGGGTATTTCTGTAGAAGTAAATTTGCTAACTGTAAAGGTCTGTGCATTTAAAATTTTCATAGACATTAACACACAGCCCTCCAAAAAGACTGTACCAATTATACACTTCTAGTCAGCAGTATTTGAAAAGGCCTATTCTTTCCATTTTCAGCAGCACTGAACATCACCAGATGTGGAGGAAAATCGCTGTATTTGTTTTAATTCATATTTCTGTGAGTAATAGTGAAGTTCAACTTCTCCCATGTGTTCAACACAAGTAAACATTTATACTAATAGAAATGACTGGGATTTACATTGGGTTATTACTCCCTGAGAACACCATGCATTGATTCCTTATTGTATCAACCATATTTTCATCTTTACTTTGTAAGAAATATGCTATCTTTGGTATTTAAATAAGATTTTATAAGATATACACATATTAATTATAGTAAATTTTAAAATGCAGAAATATATAAAGAATAAAGCAAAAATAACATATGATTCTACCACGTTTATATAATAGATACACTTTTTCTTGTTCTATTATATGCAATCATATATGTATGTATATAATGTGTATATGTAATATATAACATAGCTATATTATATGTGGAGCTATATAGAAGACATTTGTTTTTAAAGTTGAGATCACACTATATATATTGTTTTGTATTCTTTTTATCCTCAATGATATATTGCAAATAAATGCACTGTATTATGTTTCCATATTACAGGTTGAGTATACCTAATCTGAATATCCAAAATCCAAAATGCTCAAAAATCTGGACCTTTTTGAGCACTGACACAATGCCATAAATGGAAAACTCCACATCTCACCTCATGTGCTGGCTCACAACCTAAACTGAGCCAAAACTTTGTTTTATGACAAAATTATTAAAAATATTGTATAAAATTATCTTTAGGCTACATGTATGAGGTATGTATGAAAATTTCATGCTTAAACTTGGGTCCCATATTCCAAAATCTGAAAAAATCCGAAATCTGAAAACTTCTGGTCCCAAGCATTTAAGATAAGGGGTATTCAACCTGTATGTAATTAGTCTTCAAAGTATGGCTATCACATGGCTATATTATAAATGCATTAGCCAGGCTTTTATATTTTGTGTTGAGCTTATAAATTATTTAAATTTTTATTTAAAATAAAACTGTACTAAATATCTTTGTAGATAAAAGTGATGTTTCTATTTTCTTCATCTAAATTACTATAAGTAAAATTATTTGATCACAAAGTATAAACATTTTTAAATCTTGGGGTTTCTACTTATATTTTAAACTATATATATATGTGTATGTATGTTTTAATAATTTATACTCCCATCTGTGATATTTGAGAATGACCATATTTTTGTATCCTTGGAATACTAGATATAAAACATAGGTTTTAATCTTACAATAATAAGTTAAAATATTATACTGTTTAACTGGCATTCCTATATAGTTATAATTGATATTGAACATTTTGTCATATGTGCTTGAGTCAAACCATTTGTATTTATTCTACATTGAATTTCCTTGTCACACTCTCTATTTTACATTTCAGTTGTTCTACATGTTCATATTGATTCATAAAGCTCTTTATATAGTAAAGACATTAATATTGTCTCTGGTTCTTTCTGTTTTTTAACATTTATCTTTTTAATAAAATCTGTACCTTACATACATATAAGGTACAGATTTAACTTAAGTAAAAACATGTGACAATATAAATTGAAAATAAATATTGAAAAAGATTGATCTAGAGATTTATTAATAGAAATCTTCTAATATTCACAGGCAATATGTACTCTACAGTGACATTTTCAAGTTGTCAGAAATGATCATCAATAGCCGAAATTATATGAAATTCCTTTTTGAGGATCCCCAAAACAAACTATATCAGCATTAGTAGGATCTTTGAGACAGTTTTAAAAACCTTAATGAAATATGTTAAGTATGTCATCTTCCAAATCTAATGTTATCTTGTGGAGTAACATAAAGGAAATTAAAATTCTGATGGGTTGTGAGCTTCAGTAAATACTTAACTTTTCTGTGCTTCCTTTTCATCATTCATAACAATATAGATAAAGAATAATGATAATAGCTATCTCATATGGTTTTTAATATAGCTAAATTAGGTAATTTATGTAAAGCACTTGGCATAATGCTTGGAACAAAATTGTTACTCCATAAATCATCATAATAATGACCTTTAGAATTATTTTTATACTTACAAAGAAATTCCCTCTACCATTAAATCCTACAGCAAACAAAAAGCAGTTTTACATAAAGTCTATCTCCTTTAGGAAACTCCTTTAAGTCAGTTTATGTCTGATGAAAGCCTGCAGTGTATTGGTCTTTTGAGAAAGACCATCTTTGAAGTGTTGGTGACTCAGATTGATGTGTTCCTTCCTCTTTGGTGTTCATTCTTAGCCCTTGGACAATTGAAACAGAAAAGACATGGTCAGAGGGCATTCTTTTCCACAATGGCGCTTCCACAGATTTGACCCAGGTCAGGCATTTGACCCCCAGTGGGCGGATTTTATTCAAATGAATGAGACTGTCCTATGTTTAATTCATGATACAAGAAATTTAAAAACCTCTGGTAGAGAGAGTAGATCAGACATAACTCAATGTGGATCATGTTTTTATGAACTGCAGGCTGCCCTTTATAAAATGGACATACCAAATTCCAAAATGCATAATTTGAAAAATATCCACATATTTAATGCTGTATGTAAATATCAAAGATCGATGAGCTGCTTGTGAATTTTCACTCATTACTTTGTGACTTTCCTTTCTGTGCATCACAGACAGGGGTTCACACATAATTTAAAAGCTTGTTTTCAGAAGATCAAGGATGGAAATATTGTGCTTAAGCATCTTGAGAATCTGGCAGCCTACCTGGACCTCATTCAAGTGCTCTGCACCCCAGCCCCTTGCATGGAAAATGGTGGTTAACTATAAGAGACGAAAGAAAAGACAACATGAAAGTCTTCTCAAAAAAACACATCTGAGAAAGCTCAGGGGAGTAAATAATAGAAAACAGCCAACACTCAGTCATTTGAGGTTGATCACTCGGTTTGTTTTTCTTTCCTCTCCCTCCTACTCCCTGCCTTTTGGTCATTTCACTGCTCCTTGGCACCTCTATGAGAGGGGGTGTGTATGCATGCAGGGTCAGGCAGGGGAAGGGAGAAGATCATCAGTCAATTTTGTATCTTTCTGGTTGTTCCAGAGAAAAGCTGGATTGAAACAGATGACCACAATGAGGAGTGGGGATTATCTGTGACTTTCAAAGACCATTGTTCCTTCATTATTATGAAAACTCAGCAGTGGGCTGCAAACTCACGCTTATTCATTCACAAACATGGAGAAAGTGAATTCAGTAAGCATTGGCACATAGTCCAGAACTCAGCTCTGAAAGTAAGAGTAATGTACAGAAATGATATTGTCTTAAAAAAAATAAAAGTGATTTGGATCAGATACAATTAGAGAAAGTAAAAACCCAGCTGTTTTCAGGCAGGGTTTATCCAATATTGGTAACATTGTGGTTTTGCAATAACAATACAAGATGTACTTTCAGAGGTGTTTTTCCATTTAATTCACTAACTTCTAAATGTTTGCTATTTTATCCGTTTCTAGTTTACATACATCGAATATTAAAAATATGTCGTTATGCAAGAGCTATTTGATGTTCAAGAAGGCTCCTTGGTTATTGTTAGAAAGCAGAAATCATGATTTATAGAGAGAAATTTACAAGTTTGAAAAGATTGCTTTTGAGGTTTTACTTCCCTTCATTTCCCATGATGTCTTTTAGAAAGAAAAATGTGTTCCTCCATCTGACGCTAAAAACAGTCTTCATGCTGAAAATAGAAAAACAAAGTAGGAGATAGGGTTGGAAGGTGAGAGCTCTGCTGTCTTTATGAACTGCTACTGTTCAAAGTCAACCCATCCAACTCCTTGGGAAGTACAACTTCAGCAATAAATAGTGATAACAGATTGCAAACAAAGGGACTCTTATCTTTGGAATTTTAAAGTAGACATCAGGAAGCAGTGCAAATTTAGTTTAAGGCTTACTCCCAAAGCTGAACTTTCATCTTTTATAGGTCAGTCTCTGCTTATGTGCTTCAAGAATCTATAATGGAGCTTTAGAGGCCTGGCTAATCACATGCAAAAATAAAACTATAGCACTTTATATAAAAATCAGTATCAAGGTAAGATTTATTTTTGTATTTTCCCACAAGCACAGTGTCAGGTGAATGAAGGGAAGATGTGAGAATATCATATCAATGTGTCATAGACAGCAGAATAATAAATCATATTCTATCATTTATTCCTTTATTCACTCATTTATTCATTCAGCAATTATTCTACTACATTCTACAGCAGTTGCTCCTCAAATTTGGAAAGATAAAATAAGTATTATCATAGATAAAGCTCATTTTTATTATTCATGCAACTCTTCTCTCTGATTAATCTAAAGGCAGCTGATAAATGGAAAATCAAATGGTTTCAGAAGTGGAATGAAATATTCTAATCTGAATCATAGAAATAGTTTATTTAAAATAGCCCCAGGCTTTCATTTTAGAATATTTGATTCCACTGAATTGTCTTTGCGGCCAATTCTATCATCTCTGTACAATTTTCTCACCTTTGCATCAAAAAAAGAAAAGCACTTTTGCTTTTAGTGTTCCTACTATTTTTTGCACTCAGACTTTGTTACTACAGCTTGTCTGTTGAGTTCGGATTCCCAGAGCGCAGCATTCCATCAGTTTCACCAATGGCGCTCTGGCCATTGGTTCTGGACAGCTCCCTCCAGGTTCCTCAACCCCTGGCCCCAGGCTCAGGGACTCTGTCTTGTCAGGCCCTACCTGTTCCAGTCTGTGCTCAGGCCGGTTCTGCTTGGACAGCAGTCCAGACGTTCAGTTTTTCCCTCCTAGAAATGTTTCGCCTCCATCAAAAGTTCTTGATTCTTTTAGTGTTCTGCTTTTATCCCTTTGTGGGTAAACTCTATAAACACATAACCAGGGCCAATGTGATTATAATATTTCTTCCTGTAGATATCTTTGAATTTCAACTACAGTCATTTTTCATAACAGAAACACCTTCTTTAGAAGACTTCTAAAGTCTATTACCCTCAGCACTCTGTTTATTTCCTTCTAAACTTTTAGAACCCACACTTATGATTGTATTTATTGTACCTTCTTTTCTGTAGCTGTACACAATCTGTACAACTAGATTGTGGGCATCATGAAAAATAGAAATATAATCATTTCATTTATTTTGGGGTCCTCTGCATTTTACATAGTACCCAGCACATAGTAACTCCTAAATATATGTGTGCTGAATAAATTTATCCATCCATCCATCCATCCATCCATCCATCCATCCATCCATCCATGCATCCATCCATCCATCCATCCAAGATTTATTAAGCCAGATGTTGTGCTACGTAATAGGGAGGTTATGACAGACCCAGGGGAAAATAACTAAGGCCAAGTGGGCCTCTTGCTGCCCTTCAAATCACACTCCACTGGCAGCTGATTACACCATTTATGCAGGCCAGCCCTGGACAAAGGTTAGAGGGGTGAGGCACAAGCAAGGACAAAGCTCACAAATCATCGGCTCCTGACACTTGCAACAACTTCGAAGGCATTTGAAACTGGTACATTCAACTTCAAGGCTCTAGTACTCACCCTGAGAAGAAGCCTTTTGACACTCTAACCCCATAATTCCCCTCCCCCCCACTACTGTGTCATGGAGATTGGCAGATTTTAGGATTGATCTCCCAGGAACTGGGGAAAAAGTCCCTAGGTCAGGATCCTCAGTCTCTGGAATTCCCTCCCTCCCAAGCTCTGTTTTCTTCTACACAGGGCAACATTCCAAAAGACTCCCTTTTACTCCTGTAGTCCACAGGTGACATATGAATATCAAAATCTTTAATGTTTTGTAAACCTCTCTTTCCCTCATTCTGCAGTTGGGCACTAATTTTTTTTTTATTTCGGCATATTATAGGGGTACAAATTTTAAGGTTTCAATAAATGCCCCTTCCCCCCCTCCCCCCACAAGTCTGAGTTTCCAGCATGACCATCCACCAGATGGTGCACATCTCACTCATTATGTCTATATATACCCGCCCCCCCCACCTGCCCAATACCCTATTACTGTAGTACCTATGTGTCCACTTAGGTGCTGCTAAGTTAATACCAGTTTGCTGATGAGTATATATGGTGCTTGTTTTTCCATTCTTGGGATACTTCACTTAGTAGTATGGGTTCCAGCTCTAACCAGGAAAATATAAGATGTGCTATATCACCGTTGTTTCTAAGAGCTCAATAGTACTCCATGGTATACATATACCACATTTTATTAATCCATTCTTGGACTGATGGGCACTTGGGCTATTTCCACAGCCTTGCAATTATGAATTGTGCTGCTATAAACATTTGAGTACAGGTGTCTTTTTTGTAGAGTGTCATTGGATCTTTTGGGTAGATGCCCAGTAGTGAGATTGCTGGATCAAATGGTAGTTCTACTTTTAGTTCTTTGAAGTATCTCCATACACCTTTCCATAGAGATTGTCTAGTTTGCAGTCCCACCAGCAGTGTATGAGTGTATCTTTAGTCCCCTGCTATGTATCAAGTACTTTATCTTACCTATATTATTCAGTGAAATTGATAAAGAGACTATCAAAAATATGTACTAAACAAATTCAGGGCAAAAATATACACAAATAGAATTTAAATAAACTAATATGTAAAAAACTTGAATGCATATGCAGGTGAAAAAAATCTATAATTATTAAGATTGGATCACAAACTAGGTTTGAACTTGTTAAAAGTCAAAAGTAAAAAGGAATCAGCAACTGGATTCCTGTTATTAATAAATATATAACAGTTTCTATAGGTTAGGATGTTTTTAATGAATATTAAAAATTATCCAGTTCAAACTGGCATAGCAATTAGGAAATAAATTGGCTCAGATAACTGAAAGTTCAAAGCCAAGGCCAGCTTCAAGATTAGTTGATCCAACAGGTACTTGGAAATGTTAGCAAGAACCTACAATCTTACCCTTTCTTCTTTCTATAATCTACAGTGTTGGGCTTTATCCTAAAGCTAGTTTTCCTGTGATTGTATAGTAGAAGGAGCCATCAGAGAGCTACATGATTTCTTGTTTATGTTAGATCAGGGTTTCTTAACCTCTACTCTCATGAAATTTGGGCTGAATAATTATTCTTTGTTGAGGGGCTGTCCTTTGCATTGTAGAAAGCTTAGCATCATCCTTGGCCTCTATTCACTAGATGCCAGTAGCATCCCCCAAATTGTGACAATCAATAATGTCTCCAGACACTGCCAAAAGTCTCCTGGGTGGTAAAACAGCTTGTAGTTGAGAACCACTGCTATAAGAGAAAGGTTCTCTAGGAAAACAAGTGGAAATTCTCTCATAAGTCCAAGGAAAACATCTGAAATTGACCTAAATTGCATGGCTATATCTATACCAAACATTGCTAAGAAGATTAGAAATACTTTCATTTGGACTAACTGGGTCAAATCCCTGGCAATAAAGAAGGGGTCAACTTCCCTTGAATCTTATGGGCTTTACAGGGAAGGGTGGATTCCTGAACAAAATCAGGGCTCTATTAGAAAGAAGGAAAGAAAGAAAGGGATAATGGATTTAGGAAAAAAGAAAACAAGATTAATTCTGAGACATATGTGTGTGTGTGTGTGTGTGTGTGTGTATCTATATGTCTATATGTCTTCAGGTATAAAGGAAAACTAATAAAGCCAAGAAATGGGGATCTGAAGAACATTGTCAAAACTGGAGTAAAGTGAGTGAGGTATTTGCCTCCTGCACAAAATTTAACCAAAAAACTCAGTTATCAAGATAAATAACATGTAGTGAAATATTTAATAATTATAAATTTATATTAAAATATTCATTAATATTAATATGGATATAACAATATTTCAATAAAATATTTGTAACAAATATAATTTTTAAAAATCCATGACAAACAAAATATCAAAATTTCAGATTAAGACAGGACCTGTGACAGTGCCTTGGTGAGCCATATAAGAGCCTGAGGCAAAAAGAAAACAATCAGTAATACAAAGCCCTGGGGCAGCAAGTCTTGTGAAAGGCAGTGGATTTTTTAGAGATATTTTGTAGGTAGAAAGGTAAAGATGGGTGGTTGACTGGATGTGGTGAGAGGCTCAGTCACATCAGCATCTGTTGGGAAAGGGAACACAGGAAGATAAGCAGGTTTGGTGGTGGCAAACATAAATTAAGAAAAAATGGCGGTCAAGTTGAGATTGCAGAACCTGAAAACCTTCATCTGCTCGTGATGCTCAAAGGGCCCTAGATACATGGGTATGGAGTTCATGATGACACCTTTAGCAGCATTAATTGCTCTGTCAGGAGCCCTCAATATACCCTGAAGGGAGAGTGCTCAAAGGAGGCAATTCTTTAGGATACGAGTAGGAAGAAGTAAGTGGCCCCCAAAACTAGGAAATTCAAGTACACAGCTCTGGAAGTCCACTTTGATCCAGGGATTAAAAAGTAGACTAGATAAAGCTATGAATGGTCAGTGGGTACAAAGGTTTAGTATAACTAAAGGTTATAGTTATATAGTATATAGTTATAGTTATATAGTTATATAGTATAACTAAAGGTTTAGTTATACTAAACCTTTGTACCCACTGGTACAAAGGGTAAGTTCTGGTTTTTTATTGCACAGCATGGTGACTCTAGTTAATAAAAATGTACTGTATATTTCAAAATGAATTTAGTCACATGGGCTAAGAGAGTTATAATTCAGAGGAAGCAGGTATCAGGATAGGAAACTAGCAGTCTCTCCCAAACAAGGATCATCTTCTTAAGATCATTTTGGTTAACATTAACCTACAAGATCTAGTAAAGCATCTCCTACTTCCAAGTGCCCACCAGAGCACTAACTTCCAAATGAAGCATAACACCTCTACAAAATGAACTTAAATCATCAAAGTTTGGACATCTCATCTATCTGCTAAACAGAGAGAAATCTTTGCATAGCCACTGGTTATGAGAGGTGGTTTGAAGAAGGAAAAATGTATGATGGTCACCTTCCATGGAGCTGCCACTCTTTTAATTTTGTCAGACTGGTTACACTATTACTATTATAAATAGCTTTGAACTCACTAAACAGATAATTATAAAATGCAGCCCTAAAATACACTTCATGTTGGAACTTTAATTCTGAGTGGTTGCTGAAGTAGGTGGTTGTCAAATCCAGTTTTCACTGCTCTGATTAAAGAATGTGGGTTGCATCATTCAAAACTAGTATGATTTAAAGACACCTTGTGCAAAAGAAGTAGAGCTAAAATTAGTTTCTTGTTAGTGATTCTGGTCACCATGATTATACAGTAAAGTGTACGTGGACATGTCATACAGAAGGGTTTTGTTTTTTTTTATCTAAGTGAGAGAGCTTTCTTATAGAGCAAAACATTTGAGCAAGACTTAATTTTGAATGATCTGGAATGAAAAACTCAATAACTTTTAACATTATCTAGGTTTATATTTAGAGTCAACGAAGATTTCTTTTAGTGACATTCTATCCTAAATGAAAACCATTGATAATTTTATAAAATGAACATGAAACCTTTCAAAGACCTTACTCAAGTTTCCCATCATAAGGCTTTGTATGTCAGACTGAGTGTGTGAGTTTATTAAGGTATTCCCCATTGCCAGAAAAGGGTTACTTTACCCATTAAAACCTTACTCGAATGGATATCAAGAATCTCTTGTGTCCTGTTACATGATGTAATTTAAGTCTGAAAATACCCATGCTCTGCTTTTACCAAAAAGTTAAAATCTTTCTCAATGGAAGCAATAGAGTATATCACTGATAAGATGAAGGTGATCCAGTAAAGGGTCATGTCTTAGCCCTTTTTGGACAAACAATGAAAAGAAACTTTTCTGCTCCCATATTATGTGTCATCAATAATCCAGCCTATTTTAACACATCAAATCCCTTCTATGTTTTGAAGCCAACTTTCCCTTATATACAGTACAGATTAGGTAGCCATGGTGGGCTTTCTAATGGAATGTAATTATAAGAGAACTATTGAACAATTATTTGCAACCATGAACTAGGTAGCAAAGGCATAAGATATAATCTCTATTTTTTTAAGTTGCCTGTTTTCCCCTTTTTTCAAATTTTAATAGATTTAGGGGGTATAAATTGAATTCCATGTGTAATGGAATTCACCAGTATATAGTGGTGAATTCTAGGCTTTTAGTGTACCCATCAACCGAGCAGTGTGCATTGTGCCCCAGAGGTAATTTTTCACACCTCCTCACCCCCAGCTTCCCTCCTTTTGAGTCTCCAATGCCCATTAGACCACTCAGTGTGTCCTTGCATTGCAATAATTTAGCTCCCACTTATAAGTGGGAACATGCTGCATTTATTTTTCTGTTTCTGAGTTAAGAGTTAACAATTTAAAAGGAGAAGGAATATGACTAGAAAATATAGGAATTCTAACTCAAGATCCCTATTGTCACAAGAAAAATACAAAGTTAAATGAGGGAATATCATATTGATCTGAAGGAACAAGCAAACCCTTATGGTAAAGGGAGGACTTGGGAGAGATGCTTGGAGATGGGAAATGGAGGCTGTGTTTAAGACACTGTAAGTAGCCAATGTGCTTGCCACATAAAGTAAGATCAACAGCAAAGTGAAGAAAGGATGGACAGATGGGTGGTCACTACACTGTAAAGAGCACTGATAAGAAAATGAGGAACTTAATTTATAATCATGGGGTTGTCTGAGGAAAGAAAACCACAAACTGTCTTTTCTCTGCTCTCAAACCTCAACAATCAACACAGAAGACTTCTGCAGCCAAATGTATGGGATTTTTTCCCCCACTCACCAACCAAGTAATCAGTTCCATAGCAGGTACCAGCTGGGTGTCTTCTAATCAATTCTTAATCTATCTACCTGGAGATAGCATCAGATCCCATAGGTGAAGGGCTCAGTTCCACAAGACTCCCCTCTGCTTCAGACACCAGCTGCAAGTTGGGGCCTCCAGAACTTCTGACCAACTGGCTTCAAGTTGGGGTTCCCATAACCCCATCTTTAGATTATTAGAGTGGCTCATAGAACTCAGGGAAACACATTTACCAGTTTATTATACGGGGTATTTTAAAGGAAACAAATAAAAAGAGAGATGAGATACAAGGACAAGGTCTGGAAGAGTCCTGAGCACAGAGCTTTCCTCCCTGTTGGGTTGGGGTGCACCATCCTCCCTGCACATGGATGAGTTCTTGTTCACCTTCCTGCAAGTCTCCATGAGTTCAGCTGTCCAGAAGTTCTCTGTGCCCTGCCATTTTGGCCCTTTTATGGACACTTCTTTGGATAGATATGGACAACCATGTAGAAATGTGATTGGACAGAGGGTTTGAGCTAATACTGACAGGCTGAGTGGGAAACCCAGCAAGGCCTGTCTATTCAGATTCTTCTTGGCCTCTCTCTGCAGCATTCCTTTTTCCAGGGTTTGGGGCAGGACCCCTTCAAAAATCGGGGTCTCATGATCTACAATTAGACAAAGTAGGTCAGAGAATTTCTTATGGCCAGATCCATGACAGAAAGGCATGGGAAGATTAGCATATATTTTTAGTTTCTATGACCTGACTTCAGGAGAATTAACAAGGTCTATGAGAGTAACAAGCCAGGAATCATGGGCAAACACACACAAACACACACACACACACACACACACACACACACAGTACATACACATTTCATAATATTGCAGTTAGTCATGATAGATTCATCTCATAATATCACAGATAACCATTATATTAATAGATTCTTGCTAAGAGGGAGCCATGATAGAGCTGTACCCTTGAGAGCATGATCTGGTATCAGGATGTCATGTGGAATGGATAGAAAGGCCAATTAAAGAATATTGCCATTGTTATCACATGCTACTAGCTATTATGTAGAACTATGAAACAAGTAAGGAAAGGGCAGTGTTAACATGTGCCAAATCCCTTCTCTTTGGGATTCTGGCATTCTAACTCAAGTCTTCAGTCAAAAACCTCTTTAGATCCATCTTTCCCTTCTCATGTTATTTTCACTTCCACTGGATTGTGACCATCCCAGGAGCAGCTAAATGGGGCTGCCAATGTGCATCTTATCTCATTAAAGAAAGCTACAAATTCATCTATGGGAATCAATCCTGGCCAGGGAATATTTGAGAGACATATTACTTTCTTTCTTCGACAAAAAGCAAGAAGTTAGAAGATGGGGCAGAAATGTTCTGTGACTGTAAATTGGGTTAGTTTGTTTTAATCCCAAGGTACTTAAACACAAGCTATTTAAACAACATCAGCATTTTTTAAATCATGTAATTCTACAGTGTGAAATGAGGGCTCTGGGGGACAGGGTTTTCCTTATAGTCTCATAAAAATGATAAATACATCTAGCAAAGCAAATAGAATTGCTCTGTCTCTGTAAATTGGAATTAAGATGTTTATTTTCAGTTAACATGCTGTGACCTCAGATCACTCACTAGAAGATAAAATTTCATAGCCTCTTCAAGAGACTGAAGCACCATGACACACTTTTCACTTTTTTATATGAGATGTTGATATGGTTTGGATGTTTGGTTCTCTAAATCTCATGTTGAAATTTGATCCCCAGTGTTGAATGTGGGCCCTGGTCGGAGGTGTTTGGGTCATGAAGGTGGATCCCTCATGAATGGCTTGGTGCCCTGCCCATGATAATGAGTGATTTCTCACTTTTTTAGTTCACAGGAGACCTGATTGTTTCAAAGATCGTGGCACCACCTCCTCCCTCTCTTGCTTCCACTCTTGCCATGTGTCACACCTGCTCCCTCTTCACCTTTCAACTTGATTAGAAGCTCCTAGAACCATCACCAGAAGCAGATGTTGGCCCCATGCTTCTTACAGCCTGCAGAACTGTGAGCCAAATAAACCACTTTTCTGTATAAATTATGCAGCCTCAGTATTTCCTTTGTAGCAGTGCAAGTGGACTAATATAGATATGTATGAATTGGGTATTTTTTTTTATATAAGAGGGAAGGTTTAGACTTTTTTTTTAAGTCAGAGAACATACAAAAAAATCTGCAGCAAAGATTATTGAATCAAATTGGATGGAAAATAGCTATCTTTTCCAGAAGATGACCCCCCTTCCACAATTTTATCAATTTCCATGATAATCGTATTTAGCTGAGCATAATATAAGATTTTCAAGCCAAAAGCATTAGAGCTGCTTTTCTTTAAACAACATCAACAAAATATGATGAAAGAACTTTAGAAAAACTGGGCACATGAGCATCTGTATTCTCTTGTTTGTGATAATACCAAGTAGTTTTGTAATTACGTGACATCCAACTGAATTTGGTATTGGCTGGAAATAAACCAACCCATGTGATGAGACATTGAGCTAATATGGGTTGGCAATTTACATGCTCCTCTAGTTATTTGTAGGAAATCCTAAAGATGAAGTGCCATATTTGCTGATACATGCCAAAACTACTTGAAAAATCCGGCAAGGATAGTGAAATTAAAAAGGCTAATGGTTTTTGAAAGTGTAAGTAAACTGGCAGTTCATATGTAAATGACAAAGGAGGAAAAGATGATAAAACATCTGGATCATGAAAAATAAAAACTTTGGATCCAATCTAGAAGCTTGCATTTAGCTCACATAATGCAATGCAACTGAGGCCAGGCAGGGATCAAATACCACACCCTGTCACCAACCATAGAGTGCTCTAGTTCTTCTTTCAACTTCCCTGAATTAATAGAAATTTGTTTCTATTCAGACAAAGTTGTAAAACTGCCTAAGGATAACAACTCTCTCAAAATCAAGGGAAAAGAATCCTACTGCTGGAATTATTTGATATATTCAGTTCTTCATACAAAAGGAAAACATGTATCTTTTACTTTTCTTTGATACCGAAGGTTAAACAAGTATCCTAAAGCCAAGAACGAATTCATAAGTTCATCAATAATATATTTTCTAGGTCTAAAATCAGTCATGACCCCCTAACCCCACTTAATCGTGTCACGAACACATGGAGAAAGGGAAGGGGGAGGATTCAGACACACAGAGACACAGAGAGAGATAACAGTGTTCAGGACATGTTAAAGTCCATATTTTGGTGGGGTCAGGCAGGTGGGGGGGGAGGGGATGGGTATATACATACATAATGAGTGTGATGCGCACCAACTGGGGGATGGACATGCTTGAATTTCTGACTCAAGGGGGAAGGGGGGGGAACGGCAATATATGTAACCTTAACATTTGTACACTTATGATATGCTGAAAAAAAATATGGCACCTGGACATTAGAGGCAAAAGCAGAAGCAAGAAGGTCTTCTCTTGCTCTTCTCCCCTGAAGTAGGCCATAAAAGAATTCTCTGTCCTTCCTCTGAAGTAGGTTATAAAATCTTTATTACAGAGGTGCCCGCCCTATACCAAGAGGAAAGGAAGGAACATCCTTATCCTCAAAGACACAGAGATATCAAGAAGAATCTGAACAAACAGGCTTTGCTAGGTTCCTTCAGTTTATTTCTATTAGATCATACTCTTGTCCTCCAGTCATATTCCTTCATGATTCCTCACTCTTCACCCTAAGTATAAACATACATTAGTTTACCTGTTTCTTTGAGTCTTCTTTTCTGAAGGCTTTTCCATCATGTGAAACTTATTAAGTGTATGTTTTTCTCTTTTTAATGTGTCTCTGTCAGTTTTATTTTCAGACCCAGCCAGGGACTCTATAAGAGCTGAGGAAAATATTCCTCCCTTCTAGAAACAAAGAGAGGGAGAGAGAGAATGTGCAAATTGACCCAGCAGAACAAACTGCAACCCAGCCAAAGTTTTGGGTTACATCAAAGCTTTCTTTGGGAATTGAAAAGATCAGATATCTAGGTTTGACTAATTTCATAGGATAATGTATTTTATTTGCCATTATAGTAATAAATATGTTATATATTGTGTATTCAATGTCAACCACTATGATAAATGCTTTACATTCATGACTTCATTTAATCACTACAATTATTTCATGAGTTAATATATGACCATTTTACAGATGAAGAGGAATCTTAGGCTTAGATAGGATAAGGGCAGGAGCCAAGATTTCAACTCTGGTTTCTTTGACTCAGATTCCAAAAGCCATTTACCATGAAGCTTTCACCGAATGATCCCACAGTTGGTTTTATGTATTGATAATTGCCCATGGTTCCTAGCCTGTCAGTTTATTAATAACTGACAAACAATTATTCATCTGACCTGTCATCTGAAAACTATTTGTATCAATAATTATTTACTGGTACAGAAAGGAATTGCTAGCGTTACTGCCATCATTGAAAATAATGCCTCTAATCAGCAGCTAAAGAAAAACATCTGGGCTTTGCTCATTCCCAGTACAAATGTAAAAAAACATTTTTAATCCCTGGCCAAAACAGTCATACACCATTCATGACATAGCTCACAAGTTCTTAAGAAAAAAACAAAAAACAACAAAAATGTCATCGTTTCATTCTGAGAAGGAATCAGTGGGATTTAATACTATGGTTGCATGTATCCAAGGCAAACATTACAGGTTCATTGTTAGTCATTGGTATCTCCTCTATTTACTTGACTTTTCCATTCATAAACTTGGGAGAGTAAGTTGTTAAAGTTGTATACATTCCCAGTCAGGTGGAGAAGAACAGCCTTAGGTTTCATATCTCATTATCCTCTCGTATGTATGATACTTCTCCTGTTAACCCAGGAGGAATTGGGAATTGGTCAAAACTTTTGTTATATCTGTCACTTAGGTCATCATTCATGTATGGCCCATGGAAAAGGAATCACAAGGTATTTGGTTTAGTAGTGTCCTTTCATTGCACAAAAATTAACAATAAAAGTTTTTACTGTCCTAATGCTTTGTAGCTTTAAAATATGCCCATCTATATAAAAACATACAGCTATATGCCAAGTCCCCAGACTACCAATCATTAAATGAAATGATCTCATATGAAAATTATAGTTATTTGCTAATATTCCCTCCAACATTTATATTAGTTGATTAATACATAAATTAGGATTTATAGCAAAAATGATTCTTGAAGGCTTAATTCTTTAAATTCTACCAGAATAATTTTTCTATTTGGAATTTCTCTAAAGACAGTCATAAATTCTGGCAATTTGATCTTATTAATTATTATAGAAATAATAAGACAATATTTATTTTATTTTATTTTGGTAGATAAAATATGATTTTACATATTACTGGATATGTTTTTAAAATTTTCTATTTTGTATCAAAAACCTTAGAAATTCATCAAAAGGTAAAGAGTGTATCATTTATTTATCTAATAGCTGCCAGCATTTTTCATTGTGAGTGAAAAATTGTCTTTTCTTCTTTCCTCCATAACAATGGAAGCAGTATTAGTCACAGTTTGCATGGAAATCTTCCAATAAAAGACAATTAACATTTCTCTCCAGACCTAATAAAAATGTCCAGTGGCCTTTAGTGAGAATATAAATATGACTCAAGATACTGACCACAACAAAGTAAAATTGGAGGAAAGAAAAGAAAAAGACAGTAAAGTCTCACTTTTTCTGTACCACTTACAAGTATCTTGAAGCTATGTTTTACAAGAGAAATTTCACTTCAGTGTCTCTGGCAATCCTTTCCTGAGCTGCTAAAGGGAAAGAAAACCTCCTTCCCCATCACAAGTATACAAAAGAGGAGTCTTGCTGGTAAGGTTAGCATCTGTCAATATCAGGTCCAGTACAAAAAGCAAAGCCGCTCTTTGAATTGTTTGCTTAATAAGATCTCCCAGTGAATGGAGTATATCTGTAGCTTGGGGTTTCACAAGGAACACAATATTGTATGTGCATTATTTTAAATAGGAAGGAAGTTAGCTTCAGTAAAGCAAGTAAGGAATGGTAAGTTTGTCATTTTATTGAAATTTGAGAGTTTGCATTGAAAAAAAGTGGATTTTCTAATTATCCATAAGCATAACAATTCATATATTTTGTCCCAGCCAGCTAATTTTTCTCTGGAACATTCTTACTTGTAATAGCTTCCATTTATTGTTGGTGTTCCATTTGAACCACTGCTATAGAATTTTAATGAGTTTCATGTTAAACACCTATTAGAACTCATTCTTTCAGAGTCATTGTATAGGAGGCAAGCCCATCCATACTTCCAGAGTTTACTAATATCATTCACTGCAATTGAAAATAATTCATTCCAGTTTTTAAGGGTATTTTCAAGAAACATAAAGTAATTACTTTGGTCTACTAAAAACTCCATATTCAATTCCAAATGCTCAGCTTCCTACATTAATTACATTAACTGCTATACTATATTATGTACGTGCATGGCAAGCAATCTGATGCCTCATTTAAACTTGTCAACAATCTACAAAAAAGCCATTACTTTCTGCTGAAGAAATAAAGAATCAGAGAGTTTGAACATTTGCCCAAGGACATGCAGTTAGAATTCCAACCTGAATCTCTCTTTCCATAAAACTCAGGCGCTCTCATTATACCACACATCATACTTGCCCCATAACATTCACCAAATAACTCTAGCTTAAAAAAAAAAAACAAAAAAAAAACCTTTCATGAAAGAATAAACATGTTTCTGGGACCCATGAAACCTATTATGGCTAAATCCACAGCACAGCTGATAATGATCTTGTTTTCTGGGTCAGGCCTTGGAAATCTTATGGCTCCAGATTGTCTTCCAGTAGCTTCTCATAAAAGTTTTTAATATGACCATCTCCATTTGTGGATTTGCTTTTAGTCTTAAACATTCAGAACTCTCTAAATATCACACTGGGAACACAAAAAGGGCTGACCTAATTTTACATCATAGTTTCCTTAGCATTCATTTAATTTAAACTTTTTAATTAACCTAAAGAAATCAGTACATTAACTGCCCAAACCAGTATTTAGATGTTACTTGGAAAATTAAAAAAAAACAAAAAAAAATGACTCTACTCAAACACATAGTAAAAGGAAACTGAATATGCACAGGCAGGTCTAAATGCCACTGTGAAAAATTCTATAGTAAATATTTTTTCAGGGAAGTTCATAATTACCCGGTGATTTCAGGTTGTATATATAGAAGAACTGAGCAATAAATTTCTTGTGTGATCTCCCATTTCACAAAAGGAATTAATATTTTTTTTTTCCTAAGGGCTTAGTGAAGATTAAAGTGGTGATGTGCTGAAGCCTGCTCATACTTCTGAGAGCTGTATGTGCACATCTCTTGTCAACTCTGTGTTCACTAACATCAAGTTGGTAACCTGAAATTGGCCATGGTGGGAGTATTTACACCATGGAAATTGACAGACTACAAATCAAGCCTGCCTCCTCCTGCCCCCTGTTTTTATCCAGCTGCTAAACTGACTAAATGAGATAAAGATTAATCATGAATACTGAAGTGTTCTCTCATTGCTCCAGTACAGGAAGTGCTGACTGCTGGTGGCTCACAATTGTATTTGGACAGCCTGGTGTAGTGGGCATACAAAGAGCCAGGCCCCAAAAAGGCCATTCCAGCTCAAGAGCTTCTTGTGGGCTTAGTTAAGGGCTCTGTTCCAACTGTGTAACTGTTGATATTCTCCCTTTGCCCAGCCCTTCTTTCCTTTCTCTGAGAACAGGTCCCCAAAACTAAACAAATCTCTCTCTCTCTCAGTCTGTTTCCCAGGGAACCTGATCTAAGATGTACTTGTGACATTACCTGGCACATAGTTAGTGCTCAGTAAATGTTAATTGTTAATAATATATGTATAATCATTCTTTCACAGTACCTTAGTTCCTAATCTAGTTGTTGGAGATAGAGGGAAATGATTTCAGGTAACTTTTCTTCTTTTTAAGTTAAAAAAAATATTCTGCTATGGATAACAACAACAACAACAACAAAATAATGACTGTCTGTAATCTTAGTTAACTCTTCAAAATGCTAAATCTGAATAAAGTATTTTCAGTAGCCAAGAAAGCAACTATAAATTCAAATCCATGGCTAAACTTGACTTGGGTAATAAAAGAATGTCAGGAGTTCATCAATTTTAGGTTGGTGATCCTTAAACACATTTAATTTTAAACTAAAAAGACACTGCAGTCAAAGATCTTTAATTGTACTATGAATGCAAAATTGATAGCACCACGGTTCTGAGAAGGGTGATTAAGAGAATATTTCTTTAGTAATTTGATTAGTCGATAAAAACCTTCTTTGGTCAATTTCAAAAATAAAATAAATTTAGTTTGATGGCCATGTTATTCCCCTCCTGAGATCACACAGGACCTAAACATAATGCAGCCCTTGGGAGGATTCAATGCAAACCACAACTGAAAAACACTGGGCAGGCATTCACAGCCATCCAGTAAAATAATATTCTGTGTACATTCTTGGTTACGCACGAATGTCATGACAACTACTAAGGGATTAATTATTTTATTTGGAATTATAATATTTCTTAGAACCCAGTGAGGAATTTTACAAAATTATGCCATAATAATTCACATATTGATCATATATTAAAATAAAATATCTCAAATACATTAGAAGGACCATTTCTAAAGCATTCCTTTCCAAGCATTAAAAAAATTACATTAAAGGATTATTGTTTGGTATCTGATTTCTAGTATGGAATTATGACTAGTTAGCAAAAATAGTGACTATACACTATTATAGGTAAAAGCTACCTTCATTTTTTTCCTATTCATTTGCTAACTTACTAGTTTACTCAGACATTTGGGTAAGACAGTAGACACATCACCGAGGATAATGAGAGAAATTTTAAAAAAGGTTATTCCCCTCACAGAACCCATAGTTTCATGGAAGAGGCACATATGTAAAGGAACGAATTCAATTCAAAGTAGAAGTAATTTGGTAGATATCTTCCAGCATGCCTTACTTGCTTCTGCAGATAACATCACACTGCTCTAGTGCATGCTTTGTCCCCATTATCCTTTCCATGTGACTAGTAGGGGCTACCTGTCACAGAAACTCAATCCCTAGACACATCAGTCTCAAGGGGAGCCTATCAGAGGCCTATCCTAGGATTGTCTCTACCAAAATTTCTTGCCTTTTGGATCTGGAAAGATGCAAAGGCTGTAGACAGTTATTTTCCCACTACTTGCATAAGAAAGCCATGGCAAAAACACAAGCAACCATTTTGAAGCTCTCACTCCAAGAGCTGGTGTCTGTCACTGACCCCGGATGTATCCTTTGAAACAAGCTTGAGTCAAGTTTCTCACTAATTCAGTCACCAGGTGCAGCCCCAGGTTTTGTGGGGCATGAGGCTTATACCATTTGGGGATCCTTTTAGAAAATAAAAACAAAATTATAAATGCACAGCCAGGTATAAAACTGATTATTTTGGAGGAAAAAGAAAACCACAAACTACAAGTTACTGGACACTTGGAGGGTCACAGCTTTGGTAATTTACCAGATGTGCTTACACAGAATTGCTTCCTAGTTGCCAGCTAGCTCCCCTTCCCAGCTACAACTCTGGGACAACCTGCAACTCCTTGGGCACAAAGGGGCCTGTGCAAGAGAGAGACCCTGAAGCTCAGGCTTCACTAACTTCAAGGTAAATCTGCCTCCAGTAGCACACATGTTTTAAAGTATGATGAGAGAATAAAGAGAGAAAGGGCAACCCTGGCACTAGGAAAAGTTTCTCAGAGGGAGGAGCACTCACTGGATGATTAGTCAATGATCAAAAACAGAGGAAATGAGTGGGGATCCAAGATTGTGTGAATGCTTTGCACTAAGTTATGGTGTCAAGAAGTAATAGCATGTTTGAGAAAGTTTATCTTATTTAAATGAGAAGACAAGACAAAAAGATGAGCATAGGGTGGTACCTTGAAGAATCTCTCTCCATCTAATCCTAGAATAAGCCTGTTAAATTTGCATTTTTCTTCCCTTCTTCTTCCCTTTTCTGCTATTCCTCCTCCTTGTGTTCACTTCCCCAGCCTTTGCACTGGGAGGGAGGATACTTCAAAGTCTCGTTTCTAGGGTTTTTATGTGCAGCATATGCTTTCCATTCTCAGGATATGCCACCAAATCCCAATATTTTGGCCTTGTCCTTAAAATAAACACAGCACTCAAAAAAGGAGAGGAATAAAGGAGCACAACAATACCAAAC